ATAATACAAGATTTACTTCAGGTGGTAACCGGGCCTATATAAATTGTTGAAATGTCAGTTTTAAATTCTTCATGGAAAAAAGCTCAAAGCATATTTTTAAGAAAAACCATTGGGTATTACATTCCGGTTTTTTACAGAAGCTGCCATCGCCATTTTAAAGTTATTGAATATTGGATGAAGTTAATAAATAATTTTTAAGAGGGAGATTGAGCTGTTTTGAAGATCATTCATTAATTTATGAATTATTTATTTATTTTTTATAATTACTTTTTTCACTTAATTTATACACTTGAAATTCCTCTATAAGAATTATTGAATCGTTATTTTTATATACAAGATTCGGTTTACCATCATAATCGTAATGACCGGTATTTTTATAGTGGCAATAAAAATCACCATCAGAGCTTCTAAATACTGTTAAATCGAAGAAATTTATAATAACACAATAAATAATAATGGACATTATAATACATAATTTTTTTTTCTTTTTCTTCAAGAGAGAAAAAAAATTATTTTTAAAAATATAAATATATATATAATCGACATAATAACAATGCCACGAAGAACTTCTGTCCCATTGCCAACTGTCCCGTTATCAGCCCCTTCAACTACAGCACCTTCACAATTATTAGCACGGCGGCGACGACCATTACGAACTCGATCAATGACACAACAATATCCAACATATGTACTGAATAATCCACAATTATTTCCAACAGCAACCCCCTCAAATAACATTAATTTCCAACAACAACAACAGCGGCAACAGCTTCAACAAGAAATACCCTCAAAGTCATTTTTGTCCTTTCCGGATCTATCCATAAGATTACCATTTCAACAACAAATAAAACCTCAAGAATTCGTTTACTCTTGGTCAATACGAGGCTTTCAGGATTTGGTCAAATTAATGCCCAACAACACTTTTTTATACAGCGACAGAATTAAATCACCTAGAGGCATAAATGATACAAGTTGTTTAAACCAACCACCGCCACAACAACATTACTACTGTTATTTAACCAGAGATCCAATGGAGAGGAAAACAAACTCTGGAATGTTCCAATTGAAGGGAACC